GGCATCATACGGGCTACTTACGCAACTCGTCAAGGTGACACAGACCCGCCCTGCTCTTTGAACATGGCCTCAGGTCTGTGGCCACAAGGGCCCCTGACACCGTCGCGTGCACGCGCACGCGCGCGCGGACACAGCAGCTCTGCAGGTGCTTGCCCGCGCCTCTGCTGCCCCTCACGAGCCCCCTCGCGCAGGTGCCTGCGCTTTGTCTGACGCAGGCGCACAAGGGAGGGAGGCCGAGGCCCGAGACGCTTCCTGCGCACTTCCTGCCTTGCGAGGAGCGGGGAGGGTGCCCTGTGTGGCAAAGCCCTGGCCCTCAAGCTCCAGCTGGCAAGCCCCTCTCGCTCCCAGCGGGGGCTCAGCTCAAGGTGTTTGTGCCCCTTTTTGAGCCTGGGGCTGAAGAGCGGGAAGGGTCTCTGTGCCGGCCGCGGTTCGCAGGTGAGTTTCTGGGTGTTGGGGTCGCACCAAGGCACATAACGGGGAGCTGGTTTAGACATAAATAGGTTTCCCTAGAAGGTTTCACCAGAAAGTGATGTTGGGCATATTTTGAGGAAGGCCAGGGGGAGTTCTGCTTTGGACTCGCTTCTCTCCGTGTTTGGGAAACGCCGAGATTAGTGTTTTTCATCAGCTTTTTCGAGGGATGATTTGTTTCCCGCTTGTGGGCCCCTTGTGATTGTGCAGGGACGACTGCGGGTTGATGTGGGTGCTGCCACAGCACCTCAAGTGAGACCCTGCCACACTCTATACGGGCCTTCTTTCCTTACTCTTTTCTTTATTAAATGGGGAAAAAAGCATAGTCTGAGTAAATTCTAAAAATAAGTCTTGGGCAGAAAGGCTCTGGGCTTGGCTCCTTCGAGGAACTCCTCTCTGCTGGGTGTGGGTGCGTGAAATAGGCGGCGTTTTCCCCTTTGGGGAGTGGCGGGGAAATGAGAAACTGTTCAGAGTCTTGAGATTGTCTAAAAATAAACTTTTAAACACAATTTTGAAAAGCAGGAGGTGGAAGTAAATACACAGGGGGAGTTTAGTTTGGGTTCTCTCTCATTTTCTATCACATGCTTCATGGTACTACGGCCAGAGGAAAGATGAACAGCAGAGGTCGGTGATGGAGAAGTCTGGGGCAAGCTGTGTGTCACCCGCAGCCGGAGCGATCCCTTGCACGTGGAGGCCTTTGTTCCTGTGTGGAACTGAACGTTAACTTAGATGTGGGCTTCACTAGGTTAAGTGTGGCAGGCTGTTTTTAGAAAATCTACGGCCAACAGGTGGCTTGATTAACGCTGCCATTCGTCTTCTGACGTGGAGTTGACAGGTGAGTCGCATGTTCCTGCACCAGACCCAGTGTAAAGGCTCCTGCAAGCTCCTGGTTTCGCTGCTGGCCTGATGAGAGTCACCTGTGACTCATGTTTGAGAGTCACGTGCGGTGTCTCTTGCTTTACCCTGACCTTTTGCGTCACATTCAGGAGATTCTTCTCATCAGGCAGGTTTAGTGAAGCCCTCAGCACACTGCTTCACGTCCTTTGCATGCTTCTAAGTAAAATGGTGCTAGTGAGCTTTTCTTGACCCAAGTAAGGGGCAACTACATTGACTAGGATTTGGGGCCTGACCGCTAAATGGAGTCAGGACTGCTTTGGGCAGATACATTGACTTGGGATTTCTTTGCCAGCCCAAGGAAGGGACTAAATTTAGGTAGCAACCTCTGTTCTTTAAATTTTGTGCATTTATTGTAAGATTGGGGAAATGAAGGCCAAGCATGTTGTGGGAGCCCAGTGCATTTGTAGCACTGCAGATTTAAAGTTGAAAAACAGCAGCGGAGATTTAAAGTCGAAAAATAGGTTCATCGTGGCAGTAACTCACGATGTGCAACATACTTCACACACAGTTACCAAGTAACCCGGCAGTCCCGCGGTGGTATACCATGCCCATGAACTGACGAATAAGTTAGCAAAGCTTGGAGGATCCGTTCGTCGCTGTGTTACCTGGTAATAGCAAAGCATGAAGTGCAGGTGCATGGTCCAGCGTGGACAGAGCCTCACACTCGGTGATGGGCACCTGCCCTGGGCATTCCCATTTGTAGGAACTTTGCAAACTAAAAGAAAGTGATAGCTGCCAGCATCTGTGGGAAATACCAAAAATGGAGCTAACTGCTGATGGGTTCTGGGTTTCTTTTGGGGGTGATTAAAAATGTCATGAGATTAGCTGGTAGTGGTGTGTTGCACAATTCCATGAATATCCTAAGGATTACTTGTGTAGTTAAAAGGAGGAATGAGTTTTATTTCCGTAAGCTGTTTCTTTAGTACTAACTATCACACAAGATATTTTGATGCTGGATACCAAAGAATTTCAGAGGATGAGGACATCATTGGTAGGTTGGGTGGTAGGTAGATGCCAGTTAGTAAAAGAGCAGCTTTTAGGGAAGAAGACTTGGAGGTGTAGCTGTTTCCAAAAGGAAGAGCTCCGAGTCCCAGAGTTCAACAGGTGGCCAGGTGGGCCAAGCGGGTGTCCTTGCAAGGGCCCTGCAGCGAGCTGACAGCTGTGCGGAGCCTCGGGAAGTCAGTCGAAGGCGTTACCAAACGCAAGGGTGGGCCCAGGCCAAGCAGGGACCTTGATGCAAGGATAAAGTAGTCCCTGCTGCATTTGGTCAAGTCTAGGACATTGGTAAAATGTGACATGCCACTTGGAAAAACAGACACAGTTGTGTCATGGAAGGGAGAATGCACCCGCGGAGATTCCTGTTAAGAGGCCACTGCAATCAGTGCGAGGACTTCTCCTGACCCTTGGTGATTGGGAAGGCCTGGCACACAGATGTTACTCATTCTGAAAATGAATCCGGTTCCTAGGCAAGAGCTGTTGGGCTGCGTGGCCGTGGTGCGCGGGTCCTCCCCTCCGGGCCTCCACTCCCTCCTTGCCCTTTCTGTTGCTCGGCCCCTGTGTGTCTGGTGTTCTTTCCTCCCTCCCTCTTCCTTTCCTGTCCCTTTCCACTCCTCACTGGGTCTTCTTCCCCTCCCCACCTCCAGTCCTGAGACAGTTTAGCAGAAAAAATGCTCAGTATTTTTTCATACAACATAAAATACTATATGGGCTATATGAGGCGAAAAAGGAAATTTTCATGAAGCGTAAGGTGGCATGAACACAGAGGCATGCCAGCAGACATTTTAATTGGAAAATGGGCCAAATTTGATAGCATTTACTCAAAGTAAATTTAACAGAAAAGTAATTGAGGTCTGGGGAGGCTCACTGTGAGAATTCCTTCAAGTCTGTACGCTCCCTATCGCAGAAGCCTTTTCTGCCAGCTTGATGCTGCTCGTTTGTCCTTTGTGCCAAAGGGCCAATGGAAGACCTCCATTGTTCCTCAGGCACTGCTCTATGAACTGTCAGCACATGGCGGAGACACAGGAAAGGAAACAAGACTCACATTTCCCAGCTTCACTATGAGACCATCTAACTCATCCCAGTGAACTAATGTGTCATTTCTTCCAAGCACTCTTGATCTTGGATTATGTGACATCTCCTAACAAATGATAAAGACTTTTAAAAGACTGCCCTAGGCCTTTCCAGCAAGGTCATATTTCCATTGATAAGTATGCACTGTGCAGCCAGACCTTGAGAGGCGGTGGTGTGCCCTGAGGACAGTTGCCCAGCCAAGAGAAGGAGAGCGCCTGTTTCTTTAAACAACTAGTCAGGGTTTTGTTTCCTTGGAGAGGGGAAGAGGGGAGTTTTAGTAGTAGCCCCGGGGAAAGGTTGGTTCTTTTGCTTATTCAAGTAAGACTAAATGTGTACTGAGATCTGTTACTGAAGACAGATTGTGATAGCCCAAGAGGAATGAGAAGGCAAGAGGAGGAAAATGATAGGGGGGCGGGGAGGTGGGGTGTGGAGAACCCAGGCCTGGCTAGGACCAGTACTTGGCTCAGCAAAAGTTGCTTCGGCCCTCCCTGGTGGCGCAGCGGGTTAAAGCACTGCACAAAGAAGCTTAAGCCACTTCCACAGGAGTTTGATTCCCGCCTGCCCCGGAGGTGACCACATGGCGCGGCAGACCTCTCCCGACCTGCCCGCTGCTCCCCTCTGCAGTGGACTTCGTCGACCTGCCTGTTCTGCTCCCCACTCTGTCTCTGGTGAATCCTCTCACCCTCCGCATCACTGGCCTGTACCCCAGTTCTGTACGAATAAATAAATAGATCTTTTAAAAAAAAAAAGTTGCTTCAACTTTTTGAATCAATATAATATGGTTGGGAAGATCAAATTAATTAACTCATGAGAAAAGCCTCGTCTGACTTATAAACGTTCTTTCTGCTAAGGCTTTTAGAGACTTTACCACTCGTGTTTTTCATAATACTTATACTTAAAATTTCCCTTTTGGTGTAAATATAGTTCTAGAAGTGCAGTACTCTGAGTAAGTCACTGAAACCCTAGCTTACGAGCCCTAGTTAAACAGCTGATCTCTGGAAATGGAAATCGGTTGTAATCTAGAGTTTGTGCTCCAGGCGGTGCTGTTTCCTTATAAATTTGCTGATGTTTTCCTTTTCTCTCCATCTGTTCCAAGTCAAGCAAACAACTGAATGTATGTTTAAGACATCTCTGTCTCCTGTAGTTCCCAGACCTTCTTACCTTGTGAGGCCCCACCCACTTCTGCATCCTAGAAATGCACACTGGCCCCTGTCACTGTAGCTTACGTGAGAGATGAGTCTAAAGAGATTGGTTTACCTGTTACGTTTTTGGAAGACATTTATTCAAGTGCTACTTTAACGTTCACAGTTTTATTTTCATATTTTTGTATTCAGCTTGGTTTTAGCTCTCAAATACGTGACCAACTTATCGGTCCTGGTTCCCAATGAAATAAAGGGCCTAATGCTGTTCTTCCCGACTGGTGACGGTACGCAGGACATGTCCCTGTGGACTTTCATCTTTGCTTCATACTAGTGGTTTCTCACTGCTTGTCAGGAATGAGACGTGCATCTCAGAGGTGTGTCATTCTATGCTGGATGTAATGTGTGGTGTTTTCTTGTTTTCAGATCCGGGGATTTCTGTCACGGTTTGATAATGTCCTTCCTGTCAGCCTGGCATTTGACAAATGTACAGCTTGTTCTTCCAAAGTAAGTAATTCTGCATTTGAGGGATTTGTTTTTCAAAATGACCCCATGAGCCTTACTTGCCAGAGGCTTTGAGGGACAGGGGGTTCCCTAGAAAACCAGAAAGATCTTGTTTTCATCTGTCTGTATTGGTTCTCACGGAGAAATCAGCACAGGAGAACTCGATGTACAGTGGCAAAGACAGACTGAATTTGGTATTGGAGCTCTGTATCCTGCACAATAATTTTAACTTGAACTTCATTGGTCTTTGTTCCTCCTCTAAGGATTCCTGCCTCGCTTCCACCGTCATAGAGCAATTTGTAAGTGTTGCTCAGAGGCTGGGGGATGCCAGGCCATGCTGGCAGTATTTCTTTTGGAGAAAAGTAAACAGATTAGGGGCATGGATAGCGAGCCAGTAAAAGAGCCCCTTTAGCTTTGATCTTTTCAGAGCCTCTAAAAATAGAGCTGGTATGCTGCCCGTCATAACTGGAAATGGCTGATGTATCTCACAGCTACAGCATTGGCCTCTCATTTTTCAGCAGGCTTTGCAATAGTCTGACTTATTTCTAAGTGTATATTGTACAGCTTATTTCCTCTGGGCGCCTCCAAGGCTCCTAAAGCCCCAGCGGTTTGACCTGGGCTTTTAAACTTGTGATTCTTGATAAGACCTTGAGGTTCCTGTGCTGTGCAAAATCGTGTTGGGGGTCATTCATCCCAAACCGCTAGCTCTCTGGCGTAGCTTGGGCTTCTCTGCCTGGTAGCCCTCCCGCTGTAGGAGCGGGACGGGATTCGAGGGGAAGCCTCTCCACTGAGTGGACAAGTTCTCTTTGAAAACTTGACTTGGGTCACATCTTTTAAGAAGCACAATCCTGACCAGTTTCTCTAAAAAGTTTACTTAGATTTGACAACAGATTAATTTGGGGTGCTCAGAAGTTGAGTTGTTCTTGTTCTCCAGAGTAGACAATGCTCTCGTGTCCTTCTGCGTCCTGCGTGCCCATGCTGAGAGGCGAAGCTTCCCACTTGTCACTGCGAGCTCCTTCCTGCTGTAGTTCCTTGGATTCTCTTGCACCTGCTCAAGTCAGGGCTCGAAGGGTGTGTGTATCCACTTCTGTCTTCAAAAATGCAAGAAGTCTTAGGATCAAATTCTCTTCAGTGGAGGTGTTTTGTTTTGTTTTGTTTTTTCATTGAATGATTGAGCTAATTGGTCTCCAAATAACTTGGCAGTATTAATTGTCATATTGAAGAAGTTTGGTACAGGCGCCAGAAGTATCTCTTTTTTATGTAGATCTGACTAGTCAATGAAATTAAGATAATCGGGTTCTCTAAATACATTCTTTTTTGTTCTATATCTCATTGAATTGACCTTTGAGATCCTATTTGTAAGCATTATTGGTATGCCGGTTTAGAGAATAGCTTAGCATTTTTTTCCACGCTCATTGTAGGCAGTAAGTACTGGTATCACTTTTTTGCTAGCAACATTGCTTCCTCTTGGTGGTCATCCTGAGGGCCCTGCTTTACCTAAACACACTGGACCATTTAATACAAACTGACTTGGATTTTAACAGCTGGGCTATTCCCAGAGCGATCACTTTTCATGTGGTCTGGGTATTAAGTTTCTTTTGTGCTGAAAAGGTTGCTTCATCGGTGCATGTATTTCCTTACAGTAGAAACACAGCGTTTACTACTTGGCTGACTTCTTTTTTCGCTTTGGAGAATGTCATTCTCTAGTATCTGCAAACTCTACATGAATGCTTTGAAATGACAAATCCAATTACATTTTCACCTCTGCGTATGTGAATTTTTCTTAATGCATACTTAGCATAATATTTTTTAGACTGAGTCATCTCATAGTTGTTATTATTTCGGAAAAGTTCTTTGGGGCCAAAAATGACTTTTAAAAACTTCTCCTTTGACACCCATGAAGTAATTTTTTCCTTTGGTAGTTATCGTAGTTACCAGTATTTTCCTGTTTCTCCCTCTGACCAAGGCCACTGTGGTGACTTGGTTTAGTCACAAATGCAGGGATTGGGGAGGTAGATAAGTTGCCCTGAGTGTTACACACTGCAGATAAGTAAAGATGAGGCCTGGTGTGGGGAGAAAGACGGTTCTGTTTTTATAGGAAGGCTGAATCACTTGCACACAAATCATTTCTTATCTTATTTAATTTTAGCTTGGCGTGGAGCCAAGTGAAATGTTCCATCTTACAGGGAAAAGTACTGAAGACTCTGGAGGGAGCTGGGTAGTAAGGATTAATTTGCATCCCCATTTGGCTTTTTGCCTTCTAAGACTTTCTAAAATGACAGCATCTGACACCAGATTTCAAAAGCACTCGAAGAACTGAGTTGCGTTTGGTTCTATAAAGGAATTTGTAGCCAGCTAGAACATTGTGGAGTCCCTACTGCAAGAAAAAATAGAATTTGGAAGAATTTCTTGAATGAATTGAAATATTCTGGAAAGGATTTCATATAATACATTGAATTAGTCTTTTCGCTGAATCTTTTTTTGGAAGGGCAAGGTAATTTTGGTAACTTTCTCTTTTGATTACTTTGAAACATACAGAAAAGTTGGAAGAATAGTGCAAGGGATTTTGCTCAGTCACCAGTTATTCACACTTTGCCCGTTTGTGCGTGAGCGAGTGTAAGCGCCTGCGCACTCATGGGGGGAGCGCCACCTCCCCGCTTTGCTCCACGCTTCTCTTTCTCTTAAAAATTTTTTTTTTTAAGATTTATTTATTTATTCATACAGAACTGGGGTACAGGCCAGAGACGCGGAGGGTGAGAGGATTCACCAGAGACAGAGTGGGGAGCAGAACAGGCAGATCGATGAAGTACACTGCTGAGGGGAGCAGCGGGCGGGCCAGGAGAGGTCTGCCACGCCATGTGGTCACCTCCGGGGCAGGCGGGGATCGAACTCATGCGGAAGCGGCTTTAGATTCTCAGTGCTGTGCTCCAACCCGCTGCGCCACCAGGGAGGGCCCTCTTTCTCTTAAAATTTTAAGGGGAGACGCCTGGTCCTTCGCAACTAAATACTCACTGGACAGTCCCTTACCCTAACCCGGCGGCGGGGCGTTGGCGTGCTGCCCACGGCCGTGTCCACGCCCAGTTCAGGACAAGCATTGTATTTTCCCGTCATTCTCTTTGGCTCCCCTCAATCTAGAAATGTCCTTAGCCTTTCTTTGTTTTGATCTCAACAGTTTGATATTTTGCCAGTTTTTTGTAGATTTCCCTCCTTTTGGATTTGTCTAATGTTACTTTGTGATTAGACTCAGGTTGTGAATTTTTGGCAGGGATGTTAAGAAGTGGTGATGTAGCCTCATGTCAGGAGGAGTAGGATGTATTTCATCCCCTTAGGCTATGTTAACCTCCCCCTCCCCACCGGTGAGAAACCTGGCTTCTGTTACCTGGAGGTATTTGCTCACTCGCTGCAGGCCAGAATACACAGCAAGTGGCTTCTAAACTGCCAGCTCATAACACTGGGGAAATAAGCCTCCTAACTAGAGTGATATTTGGGCATTTTTTTCAAGGTAAAATTTGTATACAGTGACATGCATGAATCTTAAAAGAACAGTTATGGCCCTCCCTGGTGGCGCAGTGGGTTAAAGCACAGCACTGAGAATCTAAACTCACTTCTGCATGAGTTCGATTCCCGCCTGCCCTGGAGGTGACCACATGGTGTGGCAGACCTCTCCTGATCCGCCCGCTGCTCCTCTCAGCAGTGTACTTCTGCCTGTTCTGTTCCCCACTATGTCTCTGGTGAAGCCTCTCACCACCCCTGAGCCTCTAGCCTGTACCCCAGTTCTGTATGCATAAATAAATAAATCTTTAAAAAAAAAAAAGTTATATTGTGTGGAGGTTCCTCGAACTGCTAGACATGGAGCTCCCAGAGGACCCAGCAATCCCACTCCTAGGTACCCACCCAGAGGACACAAAAACCCTGATTCAAAAAGATGCCTGCACCCCCCCCCCCATGTTTACTGATGTTTTATTTACAATCGGAAAGACATGGAAGCAGCCCAAATGCCCAAAAGTGGATGGCTGGATTAAAAAGATGTGGTACATATACATAATGGAATATTACTCAGCAAGCAAAAAAGACATGCCTTTTGCAGCAACATGGATGGAGCCAGAAAGATCATGCTTAGTGAGATAAGCCAGAAGGAAAAGGAAAAATACCGGATGGTTTCACTCATGGCGGGAGCATAAAGGACCAGGGGAGAAAATAAATAAATAATAATGAACAGCCATATACCAGAGATATTTTATGCGAGTGGAGTGGGGAATGGGGTCAGAAACAGTGGGGGGAGGGAAATGCACTGGACTATGGTGATGGCACACGGGTGATCTGGTTATGGGAAGCCCACGGGGATGACAACTGAGATGGGAACTGAGATGATGTAAAAATAAATTATTATATGTATATAGATTTTTTTTTAAGAATAGTTACACTTTTTGACAAATACGTGCACCCAGACAACTCACATTTCCACCAAAACATAGAACATTTCCATCATCCCAGAAAGTTCCCTAGAGCCCTTCTTGGGGCGGGGAGGGGTGTTCAGTATGATGACTGTTGTGGCCTTTCTCTTTCCCAGTGAGGAGTAAAGCTGGGCACAGTAAAGTTGTGGTTCCATGTAACACTAGCCTGTTGCTGGGACCCAGAAATTTCTCTCAGGTCTGCAGTCAGGAGCAGCGTGTGCATGCAGGGAAGTCTTGGTCTTGTTGCATGATTCTACCAACCACAACCTTTGTGGTGTGGCAGGAACAGCCTGTTAGGAAGAAGTCAGTCCCAGTCTTAGTTTTCATACCATCTGGGACTGCCTGTTGCACAGATGTGGCAAGATGTGCCCAGAAACCTGATCTTGACATCTTAATTAGCAGTTGGCAAACCTAATGACGTGCTCGTTCTGGTGTTGACTATGCAGTGGTCTCTCCTGCTCATGGGTTGTGATGAAACTTCCCAAGGTGACTCGTTAGTGTCTGTGCGTGCATCTACTTGTGTGTCCTGAGAGGAGGCAGGGAGAGGAT